AAATTCTGCTGCTTTATTAAAAAGAGATTCTCTCAACAGAAAAGCATTCCACTCACATCAGTCGATGCAACTTTTTTTAGCTGAAATTTCATTCAATGAATTTAACAAAGGATACGGAAAAAGGTTGGTAAAATGAGGCTTGAAAAACATTCGAATTAATGATAATAATAATAACTCTTGCAGCTGCGCAGAAAGCTTGTCAAAAAACTTACGCCAGGAGAGGATCGCGCCCCTTTTGCGGATGCGACATCTTTACGTGTCGCAGGAGTTCTTAGACCACTTGTTCGACCCCGAGCTGATTCGGGCTTCAACTGAAAGGTATAATACAGATTGTTAAGATGTATATGACTCATGTTCTCTATGGATTTCACTATTTCCAAGATGACTGCGGAAAATTCAGAGTTCAAAGCAGACCAAGCAATTAGGTTCCAAGTGCATCAAAAGGAATTCAATTTGATTTAACTAACTTTCAGGGTCTTTTAATGATGACAACGCCCATCTTGAAAATTGCTTTGAACTGAGATTAGGTTATAGAGCGAACGACCACTTAGAATAATTCATAAAAGCTTATTTCAAACTGAGATTTAATTTCAGCAACTATCCTTCAAAAACAAGGCCGGCTATTTATGTTGAATGGTTAAATTATTTTTATTTCTTGGTGTTGCACCATATCGTAACTGAACATAACACGCGACCCATTTCGTGCATATTTATGAATTTCATGGGATGCAATAGGTTCGTTCGTTGCGTTCACGAAAATGAGAAATGCTGTAGATTTCGCAATCTTTTGATGAATTCGCTTGCCAGGTAATCGAGATATTTTAAAAAAGTGACTAAAACCATCTATTAAACAAAAACCATTCATTGAAGGTAAAGAATGCTATTCCTCTTGAATAACTTACATATGTTTCAGAGTTAGTGCAAGTAGATGCAATATAACCTGGAGAGATATGAAAAGCAAGCAAAAAAATTTCTCTTTTCAGCATATATCATAAAAAGTATTAAGGGAAGTAGTAAAGGAGAACATGGAAAAAGGCAAATGATCACAAAAATTACCTGAGTAGGACGAATGAACAATCCATAGTTTGGTTCACATGTGAAGTACTGTACACCTTGCACAGTACCATTATTCTTCCCTCGAGGTTCATCAAGAATTACGCCTACCCATTCGCCATCCGCGAACTGCACATCGCCACAAAAGGCAACTCGACCTTTTCCTGTTTTTTCTGGAATGGGAACATACTGTGTTGGTCTCTGAAACCGAAGATTCTGAAAAACTTCACCAAAAATATACCTGTCTCCACCCGTGCTCCCACTTCAAACGACATGCGCAACACAGGGAG